AAACAAAAAATAAATCTCCATATCATTTCTTTATTAATTAAGATATAATTGTGTCTAATTCTATAAAAAAGCAACCATTAGAAGTATGAAATTCAACTATCCAAGTTAAATTTTTTTGGGGCACAAAGTGAAAAAAAAAAAAAAAATCTAAATGCTCTAATTGCAGAAAGCAAGGAAATCAGATTCTGATGATATTTTAATCTTGTTAGAACATCAAGAATCCGCCACGTGCACCATATTTGTTTTTCCCCATGCTGCACCGCCACCCCATACAATCACTGCCCAACAAACACGCATTTTCACTCCTATTTTAATGGGGAAACAGGTTTCCCTCTTTTCTGCTGAAAGCAAACCAAAAACCAGAGAAAGGGAGCAGAGAATAATAATATGCCCATGTCTTCGGCGGTGGGATTATCTGCGTCCGCATCTCAGGACAACCATGAAGACGGAAACACCGAATTACCCTTGGATTTGCTTCGCTTGGATCCGGCGGTCGCCAATTTGTCACTCCCGAATGAAACTCTACTCAGAGCAGCCATCTCTCTTAAAGAACAGGTATGCTCATTTATTTTGAAAAAGATGTGTGTGTTGTGTAGGGTAGTTAATTAGCCCTTGGCTGATTTTATTTTTTTCGTTTTTTGAAAAAACTCCGGAGGTGGTGGAGGCGACGTGGAAAGGGGTCGGAGGCGGTGGCGGTGGTGGTGAAGTGGGAAATGGGGTGGGTAAGGGAGTGGATCCAACTGCCTACACGGGTCTGCTGGGAACAGCGTTCACCTGTTTGAGGTCGTATGAGGTTACCGGAAACCAGCAGGACCTGCTACTGTGTGCCGAGGTGGTTGAGACGTGTGCCTCCGTTGCTCGTGCCTCCAGTAGGTAATTAAGTTCTCTCCTTTTTCTTTCTTTCCTTCTTTACCTTCCGTTCTTTGTTTTGGGAGTGAATACTAGATGGGATGAGAATGACTCTACTGATTTCAAGGTATCTTTCGTTTACTGTTTAATTCTTTGAGGGGGGAAAAAGTGATTATGATTAGAAATAGTTGTTAAGTCACATTGATTTCATTATAATAAGGTAATATAACAATCCTCACAACCACTCACATGATGCTAAATTAGTGTCAAGTGATGCATACTGATTCACACAAGTGATGTTACCTTATTTAGTTCAATTCAAGTGATATGAAAGGTAGTTGGCAAAACTTAAGAAAAGCTTTGTTTTAAAATTAAAGTTTTCTTACTTAAATTTAAATTTTGGTTGGAGAAAAATTTTAAATTTATTTTTTAAAAATAACCTTTTAAGTAAGTTTTCACAAAATTACACATATAACTTTACTCAAAACTTAGATAAAAGTTATATTCAAAGTTAAATTTTATATTTCTCTAATAAAATTTTTAAATTTATAAAAAAATAAGGTTAGTGCTTATTTACAATAGAGATATTATTTTAAAATTATATTATTTTAATAAAATAATATAAAAAAAAACAAAAAATATTTTAATTCATACTTTAAAATTAAAATATTTTAATAATTTTTAATAAAAATTTATTGAAATAATATAATTTTAAAATAATTTTTTAATATTTAAAAAATAAGATGAATAGGTATCATTCTTAAAAAAAATGTACTTAAAATAAGTACTTTTTAAAATTTATCAAATACCCTTGTGATACCGTTTTGTTATGTCATATTTTAACAATTAGTTGTAAAAGGTTTGTCAACAAATCATTTTTAATTTTGAATTGCATTTAATTGGAGATCAAGTAATTAATTTTTGGATTTTGTTAGGATTAGTTTCTTTTTTCATTCCGTTCCTTGTTTTTAGGTTCAATTTTATCACCTCTTAATCACAAACAACCATATCAGTCACATTTAAGGGCAGATAACTGGGGCCGAAAATGATCCTGATTTGTAAACAATGATTTTATATCTACTCCATTTGCTTCGTCAAATAATTAAATATCTTTTGTAGTTTGATCCTTTAAAAAATTCATTAGCAATAATGATAAATTTATAATTAGAAAAGTAGATATGAATTTGTATTATAAATAATTAAGTGAAAAAATATCTCAAATAAAGTCTCATTAAAAAGACTTAAACATGTTAATTTTTAAAGATTGAATGAAGTTATTTTAATGTTTTATATTATGATACTTTATTAAAACGATGTAATTTTAAAATTTTTTATTTAATTTATTTATCAAATGAATTAATAACTTTAATATATTTTTATTAAATAAATAAATATAATATAATATTATCAATGTGACTCTCGAATATAATAATTAATTATATAGTATACATGTCATTATTAGAGATTTATAATGCCGTTATAAATGTGTCATTTTCAATAATGACCCTAGAAATATACAATCTTCCGTCCACTTGGCATGATTGTGGATTGTAAAATTACCAGTCCAAACGATCTTTAATCAGATGAGGGGTGGATTTTGACACCCGATTTTGCTTGACAGGCACGTGACATTTTTATGCGGTGGAGCAGGAGCCTACGCACTTGGTGCTGTGGTGGCCAAATGCATGGGGGACCATCATAGACGTGACTTCTTTTTGAACCTTTTCTTCGAGGTATTTGTCAATACAGGACCTTAACTACTTTCAGATATTACTATTTTTTTCTTTTGAACTTTGTTCAATTTTGCGTAAGGGGGAGGCAATTAATTATTACTTTCAGATATGGCTCAAACCCCACACTCGGTCCCATCCACATGGGAGTACGTGTGGACTTTGTCACTTACTCTAAGCAGTGGTTGTCATGAGTTTTAACAAATACATCAAAAACATATAAACATACTCTTTATAAGTGGAAGAGTGAAAATTACTTGTAGCAGGATTAAGTTCTGTATTATAGCGGCAAGGTGTCTAACTAGGCATAGGATCCAATTGTTTGATACATAAAAGATTTCTAAGTAGAAGCCTTGAAGGTTTCTAGTTTAAAAGAAGCTGATATGGGGAAAACAAGGAACATCCCATGCTGTATAGTCCATAATTAGGTACTCAGCAAAGCATTACGAATAGGGTCATGTCTAGTTGTATTTGATTGTGGTTATAGGTTGCACAAGAGAGAGCGCTTCCTGTTGGACCAGAAGAGGGTGGTTTTGGAATGTCATACGATCTTCTTTATGGAAGGGCTGGGTTTCTGTGGGCTGCTTTGTTTGTAAATAAACATCTTGGGGAGGAGGCAGTGCCTAAAGAACTTCTTGCACCCATTATTGATGCTTTGTTGGCTGGAGGCAGGGCAGGTGCCTCTGATAACCCAGCCTGCCCACTTATGTACCGGTGGCATGGAACAAGGTACTGGGGTGCAGCCAATGGTCTTGCCGGGATCTTACATGTGCTGCTTCACTTCCCTCTATCTGAACAAGACTCCGAGAATGTGAAGGGGACTCTAAGGTATATGATGAGCAACAGGTTTCTCCGTAGTGGCAATTACCCATCAAGCGAAGGAAATCCTAGAGACAAGTTTGTACAATGGTCTCATGGTGCAACTAGTATGGCTATTACCTTGTCCAAGGCATCACAAGTAAGTAATTCCCACACATTTTAGCCTAATGTATACTTCAAAATGTCAATTGGATTGAGTAGAACTTATAATTTTTTAAATTTGTCCACGAAGGTGTATCCAAACGACAGAGAATTTCGCGATGCTGCCATAGAAGCTGGGGAAGTTGTGTGGAAGAATGGGTTGGTGAAGAAAGTGGGATTGGCGGATGGTGTAGCCGGCAATGCCTATTCCTTCCTTTCACTTTTCCGGCTGACAGGGGAGAGCATATACCAAGAGAGGGCAAAGGCATTTGCAAACTTCTTGTATCATAATGCAAAGAAGCTTGTGAACTTAGGGCATGCGCGCGGAACTGACAATGCTTACTCCCTTTTCCTCGGACTTGCAGGAACAGCATGCCTGTGGTTCGATTTGCTAGCACCCGAGAACTCTAGGTTCCCTGGATACGAACTTTGAGTGAGGATTAATAAAGTTAAAATCCTGTGTTAATGGATGTGAGCCTAAGCCCTAACAGAGCCTTGTATGTGTCAGTTTTCCACTTCAATCACAGTAATAATATATGCACGAAAATATCATAAATTCAATGTTCGGAGCATGATTGCTGGAGATTAGTGTGTTTTCAGAAGTCATGACATATACTTGATCAATTTCTATGTGAATTTAATCCAATGAGCGCCTATCTTACCAAAACCAAATCAGTTAGCTTGCTCTACCCAAAACCATGAGCAAAAGGGTCAACAATTAGATGATCATGTATTTTTTAATTATAATTGGAGTCTTATAATTTTACATATTATTATAACAATATCATTTTCCAAGCAAATAATCCATGGTTCACACACAATCATTCATGATGCATAAGTTCATTATTAAGCTGAGCCTTGGCATGAGCTATGATGGACAGGGGGCCCATGCCATTCAGGTGACCCGTCCTAAATCAAGGTCCGAAATCTGAAAACTCCCTCTACCAACCCTGTCACATATCTTCATAACATGCTAACCATAAACAAAAAATGCTTGACAGGAAGATTCCTTTTTTTCTTTTTTTCTTTTTTTTTTTTTCTTTTTTCAAATGTGCATTTGATAACAGTTATGCAATAGGTATAATTCTCCCTTTTTTTTAGACTCCTCACACTCATCGCACCACTTAAATTTGAGTCGTAACATTCAACACTTCCCTCATCTTCTCTTCATTCTGTTCCCTCTAAACTAACCAACTAACTAAAGCATTGCAGTATCATGCCAAAGTTCATTTTGATTAGTACCATGTTTAGTTTAGTTACTAATTTCAATTGATAAGGTTTCACAGGCAATCCAACTAGTATTAATGCAGAACCCAAAAGTCTTTTTAACAAATGAAGTTCTTAAAAATATATTAAATCGCTAATAAAATCGGTTCACAATTTGATTCAACAAAGTTTTATTGATTTTGTCGCGATTTTGACTAAATTTAAGCAATCTAATTAATCAATCTAGCATTTGGTAGTAACCTCACTAATTGCCAATTAAACTAATCAATTCAATTCAATTCAAAATCACTTGGTTTTTCCTTGAAATTGAGAGTATTGCACTACAATATATGGAATTACTTTTCCAACAACAAAGAGGGAATCACAACTACAGCATCAACGGCAATCAAATTTATTTATATATAAGTTTTATATATTATTTTTATACAAAATTCATATTTTTACTTTTAATTATTAA